GAGGGTGGGCGGTGGGTGAGGTGTGAGGGTGTGCGGGGTGTGAGGGGTGAGGGTGGGCGGTGTGAGGGGTGAGGTGTGCGGCGGGTGAGGTGTCCGCTATGCGGTGAGCGCTGTGCAGTGTGCGAGGGCTGAGGGTGTGCGGTGTGAGCTGTGCAGTGTCCGCTGTGCAGTGTATGAGGGGTGAGGGTGTGCGGTGTGCGGTGTCCCGTATCCGCCCCGCCGCCCTCCGCGCTCGCCCCTGGGGCCTCCCCGCCCCACAGGGAGTGCACACAAAGGGCCGTGCTGCAGTTCGGGGTGCGGAGATGCCCTGAGGACCCGTGGGGCCACACTGAACCCCCATTCTCACCCCGGCTGTGCCCCCGGCCCGGCGGCTGCTCCCCGAACGTGCTGCAGCCCCCGAGCCCAGAGGGCAGGGGAGAAAACGGGAAATTGGGGTCTTGAGTCGCACCGTGGCGAAGCGCTGGCAAACTGAGATTGAAATTCCTCTATCTAAATGGAAATGAGCTGTTGCCATCAGGGAGGGATGTTCGTCACCGCTGCCCCGGTCCAGAGCTGCGCTGTTAATGGAGAGCAGAGCAGAGCAGAGGGGTCACTGTGTGCCCCCATCACTGCCGTGACAGACCCCATCCCATCCCCACACCAAGCCACAGCACACAGACGCTCCCACTCCACGTGCCAAGCAACCTGTGAGTCTGTCAAAGGGAAGCCGACCTTGTGCCCCAATGGCCCTGCTGACAGACAGACATCTACTGCAGACACCAAGACAGCAGTGACATGGATGATGATAAAAGAAGGATCGTGCTCTCTATGGCCCCAAGCAGGACCAGCCCAGCAAGAACAATTATGGCTGTTTTGAGTGGGAGCAGCTGCTGCCAGCACGAATTACTGTGCTATGTTAAAGGGATGTCTCTGAGCAGCCCCAGCACTGCTCCCCACCTCAGCCTTGGGATGCCCCCACTAATGTCAACAGCAAGAAGCTGGTAGTGTGGAGTCATCATGCCTCGGGTGTCCTGGGCAGGGACACAGCCACACCATTAGCACTGGGATGGTCTCAGTAGAAGATCACGGAACCCTAGGTTTGGGTCAGCAGGTCATCTAGTCCAACCTCCTGCTGTAAACAGGGACCTCTTCAATTAGATCAGGTTGCTCCAAGCCCTGGCCTTGAATATTTCCACACATGGGATTTCCACCACCTCTCTGAGCAACCTGTGCCAGGGTTTTACCACCCACACTGTAAAATACCTCTTGTATCTAATCTAAATCAATGTTCCTTTTAGCTTAAAGCAATTTCCCGTTCTGGGTGCCTGAGCATGGTGGTTTGGAGACAGGCCTCCAAAACTGTGCACAAAAAATGACAGAACTACTCACAGGTGTAGACTCAGAATTAGGTGGAGGCATCCAAGTAGAGATGTCTTGGGACAATTTCCAAACAGGACACAAGGAACAAGTCAGTGGTTTGGAAGGATGCTGGGAACCATCCTGAAGGGACTCAGTGAGGATGATCTCCAAGTCAAAGTTGAAATTTGTCCTTTGGGTCAAACGTTTGGTCTTTAGGAAGAGACTGGAGAGGAGGCATTCAGCCGTGCCAGTGCACATGTGTGTTATGTGGGTGCCACCCTGCACATTCCACTGGCAGCCCGAAGGGATCAGGAGCAAATTTCTCTCCTTTTCTCCAAACTCTGGCAGCTGAGCTGTTATCTGATCCTCCTGCAGATTGCTGTGCTTGGAGGAAAAACAGAGGGCACAGCATTCTCAGGGATACCCAAGTAACTTCAGCATCCCTGGTTTCAAACTAATCACTGGGGTCAAGACTAATCATTGGGGTTTCAAACTCATCACCAGGCTGGGCCTCAAGGAACTGCTCCAGGCCAGAGAGCAGGAAGGGGGCATGGATGACAATGTGAGGGTTTAACCCAGCCCCACAAGGATCAGCTCTGGTTCCTCCAGCCTCTGAGGTACCTGGGAGCCTTGATGGCTTGTGCTGGGAGGGTGATGTGAGGCTTGGCACAAACCAAAGGGTTTCATTTCTAGCAGGTGGGAGACATCAGGGACAGAATTCAGTAAATATTTCCCAGGTGGGCAAGCTCCAGTTCTGCCCTCTATCAGTCTTTTCTCCCTCTTGGTTGCCTCCATCCTGCAAAACTACACATTTTCATAGAATCATAGAATGGTTTGGGTTGGAAAGGGCCTTAAAGCTCCTCTTGTTCCAATCCCCTGCCATGGACAGGGACACTTTCCACTATCCCAGGATGCTCCAAGCCCTGTCCAGCCTGGCCTGAAACACTTCCAGGGATCCAGGGGCAGCCACAGCTGCTCTGGGCAGTCTGTGCCAAGGCCTGCCCACCCTCTCAGCCAAGAACTTCTTCTTATCTCATCTAACCCTGCCCTCTTTCAGTGTGAAACCATTCCCCCTTGTCCTGTCACTCCAGGCCCTTGCCCAAAGTCCCCCTCCAGCTCTCCTGGAGACCCTGAGGGCACTGGAAGAGGCTTTAAGGTCTCCCTGGAGTCCTCTCCAGGCTTCACAGCCTGAGCTCCCCCAGCCTGTCTCCATGGCAGGCAGCCCTGTGAGCACCATTTTGGCCAGTGAAGTGCAGGGCTGACACAGCCCCAGCTGACCCACAACCAGGCAGAGGCACGAGGCCAGGGCTGCACCAGCTCGGCCCTGACCCCCTGCACAAGCTGTTCCCAGCAGTGCTAATCCAATTACAAAACAAACTTCCTGCCCCCATTCTCAGAGCTGCAGCATGTGCTGAACCAGCCCTGGGATCGTGGAGGGCTCTGTGAGGGACCAGCAGTGAATGGCAGAGGGAGGAGGGACACAGAGCACAGGCAGCTGGGAGCACATGGGGCACTGCTGGGACAAGTGGATTAGAATTATTACAAACAAAGGTCTTTGGTCTAGCTTTACACTCCCAACAGGGTTAACCTTAAAGCCCCACAAGGTTGTTCATGCCCTTTTCCCTCCTGGGGATTAGCATCCTCCTGAATAGGGATCCCTGTCACCTCTCTAGCCCTACTGCATGCCTGCCTTCACCCACCCCATTCCCAAACAATGCTCATTCAGTCACAGGGTGCCAAAGGCAGCACTAAAACACTCTTTCTAGAGAATTTCAGTTCAAATTTTCTGGAGAGAAACTCCTGCTAGAACTGGAGTAATATTTTTGGTGGTCAGGACAAAGGAAGGGGTTATTCCCCTTTTTTTGGCATTGGTGAGACCACACCTGGATACTGTTTCCAAGTACATGAGGAGAGTGAGAGACTCCTGCTGAGGATGTTGGGGGCAGAACAAGGGAGTTTTACTTCTTTACCTGGAGAAGAAGGGCTCAGGAGAGATGTGATTCCCACAGCAATGCCCAAGAGCCATTTTGCTGGAGCACCTGCACACTCAGCCCAGCTGCAGGCAGTGCTGCTGGCCCATGCCTGGCTCTGGGCAGCTCCTGCAATGCACACAGCTCTCATTCCTCATCCTGTGCTCAGCAGGGATGCTCTGAGATGGAGCCAGCTGACTGAGCAGGATTTCACCAGAAGGCTGCACAGCCAGCGCTGCCTTCCAGGCACTTTGCTCCCTGCCACAGCTCCTCAGGAAAGCAGCCCCACACTGTGGAGAGCTGCATGGACACAGGAACCCTCTTCTTTCCCACCCCAGCTTCCAAGAAGGCAGAGGATCCCCATGATGAGCTCTTCACTGAAGGGGTGAAGCCCTTCACACTGCAGGGCTGTTTAAGTGCCACTTGAAGCCTTCTAAGTGCAGAAAGGGCACCCAGATTTCTGCACCTCCAGCCCTTCCTGCAGGCTCTGGGTGCAAAGCCCTCCCACTGGAGTCACCCCCATCCCCAGTGGACAGAATGCCTCCCTGGGATGGGAGAGGCAGGCAGAGCTGCCAGCAGCCAGAGGCTGTAAGGAGACACCGGCCAGCTCGATCCAATGCCTTTTAAGGAGCGGCAGAGGCTGAGGCATCCTGGACCAACCCCCCAGGCTTGTGCAGCTCCCAGTCACGGGGTGCACTCACAGACCACACTGGCCATGCCCCACGGCCCCCAGAGCAGCTCAGAGCTGTGCAGGGCAGCCAGGACAGCTGTCTCTGTGCTAAGATCGAGTCTGAAAACCCCCAAACCCCGGACAGCAGAGCGGCGTTCCTGCAGAGGCTGCAGCACTCACCCGCACAAAATCACAAAACCCCCCCAGTGCCATCAATCACCTCAGTGTCCCCCAGCAACCAGCAGGGACAGCTTCCTCCTGGCAGCAGGCAGAAGGGAGGATGATGCTTTTTCACAAAGCCTTCACCAGGACACTGCTAACTCATCCCACCAATTCCCCAGGGCTTTGCTCCACTAACAGAAAAGGTTTTGCTGGTCCAGCAGTGAATTTGCTGCTGCCATCCCCACCCAGAGAGCAGAGGGGAAAGGGAATGTGCTGCTGGGGAGTAACAGCAGGATGGAGCTGAGGCTGAAGCATGGACAGAGGAAATGCACGTGCATGGGCATAGGAGCAACAGCAGGAACAAGGTGAAAAGGCAAGGATGTATGAAACAGTACAGAGCACCAGAGAAAGGTTCAGCCAAAAAAATAAAGAGGAGCAAGCTGGCCCAAAGACAAGGTGTCAGGAGACAAACAACAGGAGTGGAGCCAGTCATTTCTCAGAGGAGATCAGGAGCTCTGTGAAATTCAGAGACTTTGCCTAAGATTTCTGAGAGGTGAAGGAAAACAAGAAGGCAAAAGATCCCAAAGAGTGCCCTCTTCTACAGGGAGTAACAGGCAAGTCCAAAATCAGCTCATCACTACCCACAAAGGCTCTCAAAGACATGGCACGGACGTGACCACCAGCATCCTTTGTCCCCTGTGTCTCAGAGGGGACACTGGCTGACCACGCCAATCTCAGTGTATCCAACGGCGCAGGCAAAATCAATTCCCTTAAAGCTCTTGTGTAACAAAATTTCCCTTTCACTGTTTTGCTACACTGATCCCCCACTCGGGGGGGTGTGGGCACACAGTCTCATGAAGCAGGAGACAACCATGCACCGCTTTATTGGGCAGTGGTGCTGCACACATGGCCAAGGCCGGTCACTGTTCACGTTTGGCACAGGATGGCAGTGAGCACTGAGCAGGGGACACTGAGGGCAGCCTGCCTGGCACTCTGCATGCCTCACTGGCCCCAGGCAGGTCCTGCTCACCCCTGCCAGCCTCCTCACCTCCAGCACAGCCATTTGTCTCCCATGGGCAGAGCCAGGCACCCTCACAGAGGTACCTCAAGCCTGCTACCGGATGATTCATCCCCGTCCTCGCACACACTGCCCCCCTCCCTGGACTCTCCAAGGTCCCACTCCAGTCCTGGCATGCCAAGCTCTGCCAAGGAGGCAGGTGTGGAGGTGTGGACAGCCCCACTCAGCTCCTGGCACAGGGGGTCCTTCCAGTGCCACGCCAGCACAAAACCAGAGCCCCTGGGCGAGCAGGACGAGGGGCCCGGCTGCAGCAATCCCCGACGGCGGCGGCTGTGCCCAACGAGCCGCCCACGGGCCTGGAGCCCACCCTGGGCACGGCAGCGCTCAGCCCTGGGGATGGGCCAGTTTGGGTGCAGCCAGCCTGGAGCCTGGCTCGTGGGGTGATCCCTATAGGGTACGGATGGCCACCGGGTACAGCAGGGACATGTGCTCGGCCCCCTTGATGGGCAGCTTGCGGCTGGCGTAGTGGTGGATGATCTCGGGCACGCTGTCGAAGGGCGGGCTGTGCTGGCCCAGCACGTACTTGTTCTCCTGGGTCCGTGACAGCTTCATGTGCATGAAGCCCTGGCTGCTCCTGCAAGGACAGAGCAAGGCAGGGTTAGGGGGTACAGCTGGCCCCGGCCTCCCCTCACCTCCTGACCCCCCAGCACAGGCAGCATGCCCCTGCAGCTGAGGGGGACACTGCTGGCTCCTGTCTGCAGCCACGGCTCTGCTCCTGGCTGACTCCAACAAACCCCACAGAGCAAAGCAGGGACATGGCCAAGGATGCTGCACAGAGCCCCTTGGGGAGCACGGCCATGCAGTGGGGTGTGCAGGGCCCACCCAGGGTGTGTGTGGTAGGGATGGCATCACTGCTGTAGGGTCACAGAGGGGTACTGGCTTTTGCTCCTTGCATGTGACAAAGCCCCTTTTTCTCTGGTTCTCACAAGCTGCCCTCAGCTCCCAGATCTCCGGCCTCACCGTGGCAAACCAGGTTTTTCTCCTTTGGCCCACAGCCAAAGGATTTTCTCCTTCCCCCTCTCCCCATGCCACCGCTGCAGGCTCCATAAAACCTGCTCAGCACAGCAAGAGCATTTCCCAGCACAGCACGGGCACGGAGCCACGGCAGGCTGTGCAGGCAGACCCTGCCACGAGCACTGATTCCAAGTGACGGACTAATGGCCCTGTTGCTATTAATTTGTGTCTCCGAGGAGAGCCACAGCCTGTCTGCAGCGTCTGGATTGCACATTATGGCAAAATATTGATGACTTAAAAGCAGACAGGACCTCATCAGTGATGCTGAGCTGCTTGGAGTGCTGCACAGCCCGGCCCCATCCCCCCGGCTGGAGAGGGGCCATAATGGACAGCCCAGCTGCATTAGCAGAATGGCTTTGCAATCCATTTAGAGAGAGCAGCAAGGAGCCAGCTGTCCTGAGAGACAGCCACAGCCCCCCAGCATGGGCTGAGCAAAAGCAATAGCTTGGCTGTGTCTTGTGTCCCAGCTGGGAGGGGATGGAGTGCTGCCACACGGAGCCATGGAGAGCTGACACTGGCTGTGCTTAGCCCCAAGTGCTCCACAGGTCTTTGCCACAAGCTCAGGGATGTGATGGGATCACACCTCTAGGGAGATGACTGAGGGAACAGGCTGCAAACACCAGTAGCCAGAACGGGGGGTGGGTGCTGCTCCTGCTGAGCACCTCTGCAGGCACAAGGAAGGACACAAAGCTCTGCAGTGTGGCCTCAGCCACCCTCGTGGGCTCTCCAAGCATCTGAGGCAATGACATGACCCTGTCCATGACAGGCAGTGTGGGGCTGCCCACCCTGGACCAGCCAGCACTGTCACAGCAGGGTTAAATCCTTCCAGCTACCTGACCTGCTCCTGGCTGCTCTCTCTTGTGCATATTTTCCTTTAAAGCAACACCTAAGTACTTTAGGTCAGCACTGGAACGCTTTTCAGACCATGTCCTTGGCTGTGCCTCCTTCCTCAAGGAAAAAAAAAAAGAGTTTAAAAAAAATAATAGAGAGAGCTGCAGACAGCCAGCTTACAGCTATATTAAAACATCCTAGGGGATTTTCCTTGAACAGGCTCTACAGAGAAAGGCAGTGGAGTAAAAATCCTGCTCCTGGGGCTGTGGGTTCTCCACAAACTCTGCAAAGACAGGCAATGCCCAGACAACTCCCTGATCGTCTGGGGAAGGTGGGATATTGCTGCACACCATGGCAGAACCACACATGCCCTCTGAGAGAGGAGGATTTTGTCATAAGACTGAGGATGATGGCAAAAAGTAAGGGAAAAACCAACCACTAAGGTGACTGGCTTGTGGAAAGCCACTTTTGGTGATGGAAAGCCACCTTTAGTGATGGAATGCCACCTCCCAGGCTCTCCAACACACACCTGGCTAATGCCAATCCCAAGGCAATGGTGAGACCTCTTGCAGCTTCAAATGCAGCCCCCCAACCAGAAGAAGTGGTTGCTCCAAAATGGCTCACAAGCCAGGGGTAGGAAAAACCACAAAAAATTAAAATATCAGTAAAAAGTCCAACCAAAAAAAGGGAAAGGAGGGAGCTATTCCTGAAGGGTTTATTGACTGATCTGAAAGCTCTAAATGAAGAAGGAAGAAAATGTATTTTCAGTGGAGCTCCTGCCCTGGTTTGGTACTGAAGGCAACAAAAAGAGTGAAAAAAATGTGAAGAGAGAGCAATTTAATTCACAATTGTGCCACTGGGAAATAAACAGAGAGGCTGAAAGCCCTTGGGAGCAATGCAGGTAGAGAGACCAGTGGGGAAACTCAAAGTATACTGAGAGAAGCACAGGGTTAAGGGGCCTGTTGTTGGGCAGGGATAGCTGAAGTGCTCAATGAATACTTATTTCCCATCTGGCAGGAACAGGGCTAATATAGCTGTCCAGCAGCAGAGCAAGAAGGTATTTGCTCATCCATCATCATCTTCAGACAGTAACAGCTTTGATTTTGTGGATTTGTGCTGCCCCAAGAGCCAGGAAAGAGCTGGATGAGGAGCTGTGGGCAGTTCCCCCCTGTCAGGACACATGCAGAGATGCTTCACGCAATTTTGGCATCCAGGGAATCTGGAAAACTTGGGGAGAATATAAAGATTCCCCAAAACCACAAGCAGAAACCAAGCTGTGCTGTGGGGGATGGCAAACCAGAGCAGGGGAAAGCCCTTTCTACAGCTGAGCAATGGATCTGTGGGCTGGGGAGGCAAGGATGGGTACCCACACTCCCACCAACAGTGGGCTCTTACAAACTGTCTTTTCCCATAAAACCAAGCTACAAAAAAAAAGGGGGGAACAAGAAAACAGAGCTGGAAGCTGTAACCAGACACATCTGACCGAGAAGTGAGGCACATCATTGATCCATCTGAGGGATTATGAGCACTGCCAAAGAAGAGCAGTGGGCCTCCAGATTTTCCTGAGAGATTTTTTTTGCGAGACACCAAACCAGGAACCTGTGCCACAGAAAAACCACACACAGAACAGTGTGGACTCCATACTGCAGCCACAAGTGGTCATCTCATATGGGCACAATTCCCTTGGGGCACCCACCCAAGGCCACCTAAGGGTCCCCTGTGCTGTGTGCACCCCCCAGGCCCGGCAGGCTCACTCACTTGAGGGACAGGGAGAAGTCGTTCTTGCTGGTCTCGCTGTTGCGCACCAGGTAACTCGCCTCCTTGCACAGCCGCAGCAGCGTCTCCGCGTCCGTCCGGCTGATGGCCCCATGGTACCAGCTGCAGGGAGAGGGCACAGGGCACTGCTGGGCAAGGCTGGGCACAGGGCACTGCTGGGCTCTGCTGGGCACAGGGCACACCTGGCACGGGCTCTGCTGGGCACAGGGCACAGCGGCACGGGCTCTGCTGGGCACGGCTGGCACACCTGGCACGGGCTCTGCTGGGCACAGCTGGCACGGGCTCTGCTGGGCACAGCTGGCACAGAGCACACACTGTGCCAAGGGCTCTGCTGTGCTGGGCACAGAGCACACAGCTGCCAAGGGCTCTGATGTGCTGGGCACAGAGCACACAGCTGCCAAGGGCTCTGCTGGGCACAGAGCACACAGCTGCCAAGGGCTCTGCTGGGCTGGGCACAGGGCACACACTATGGCAGGGGCTCTGCTGTGCTGGGCACAGAGCACACACCATGGGAAAGGCTCTGCCCTGGGGCAGCAGCAATGCCAGCACCTCCCCAGGGACTGCAGTCACACTCAGGGAGAGGAAGGGGGTGGCACCTCTTAGGCTGGGAGACAAGGGGCAGGGACAAACAGGCTGAAATGTGGGGCCAAGGAAGAAAGGAAGGAGCAAGTGCGCCCCAGGGATCTCATGGTGTGGCCACAGGGCTCCCTGTGCAGTGGGAGGGTTGGCAGCCCTGCTGGGCAGGCAGGACTCACCACTGGCTCTCCAGGGGCAGGGCAGGGTCGATCCTCTCCCCAACAAAGGGGCCGGGCTCAGCTGTCAGTGTCTTTGTGTTCTTGAGGCTGCTGGAGCCGTGCCTGAGGACAGCCCTGGCCTTCTCCTCCCTGCAGGGCGAGGTGCGGCCATACCCCAGCCCCTCCGAGGGACCTGCAAGACAGACAGACAGACATCACAGGCTGGGATCAGAATTCCCCTGGCAGGAAGAGCCAGAGCCACTTCCATCACACTGGGTCACCTCACACTGCCCCATCCCCCTGGTCTAAGCAAGGCCAGGGCAGCCCTTGCAGTGCCCAGGTTGCAGCCAGTAGCTGAGCCCATGGAAGACATTTCCAGGGAGGTTTCAAAAGCTCAGGAGGTTTTGCTGATGCAAAAATAGATTCAGTGGCTGTGGCACAGGGTTAAGTGAGATACAGCAAGAAGACGTTCCCCAATCTCAGTGGAAGAGGGGATAGATGGAGCTAAAGGAAGCTGTCAGTTTGGAACCAATGGAGACATTCTGCTGGCACAAACAAACAGGGGGTGAAAAAACAATTCCTCAAGGTGGGAAGGGGATATTTTGACTGCAGGTACCCCCCTGACACTGCCACCTGCCTGTCACCAGCCCAGCCACAGCCAGGAGTGCAGGGGATTGCCCAAGCCATGCCCCAGGGACCTGGCCTCCCACTGCCTGTTATTTCCACGCAGGATGATTTCAGCATTAACAATATCAGCTCTCCTTCCTCCCAAGAGTTCATTATTGCTCCCTGTACCACCAATCCCCTTACACAAATTACTTATTGATCAGGCAGAGCTGCCACAGTGTGGGGCTGCCAGGGGCTGACACTGTGGCAGCACAGTCACCCTGGAGATGGCTGAGCCCAGAAATGCCCTAGGACTACTGGAATGCCCAGACAGAACAACTCTCCAGGCTCCCTGGCTGCTGGAGGGGAGGTAAAAATAGCCAGAGGGATGTTTTCCTCTCTAGCAGGGCATCCTCCAAGGCAGCTGTTTGAGTGCAACCTTCTCCAAGCCCTGTGCAGGTGAGCAGGACTCCAGCCCCCCCAGCACTGCAAGGAGGGGAAGGCAGCCAAAAGCAAACCCAGCCAAAATCCTGTGCAGCTCAGCATGGCATAACCCCCCCTGAGCACAGCCCAGGGACGAGGTGCCTGGCATTATGGCTGGACAAGCCCTGCTTCTGCAGCACTCTGGCTTTTCACCAGCCATGCTCCCCTTGTACATCACACACAGGCTTCAATTTCAACTCATCACCTTAAAAAATTGGGGCAATCATTAAAAGCCAGGCAATCAAACAGCCCAAGTGTTTGCTGGCGGCACAAAGTCATTGTGTTCCAGGCTCAAAAGAAATGCATTGCACCTGTCAGAGGGAGGCAGAGGCAGGTGCCTGATTAAACAGGATATTAAAAACAAGCCCTTAGGAGGAAGAAGACATCCTTCAAGACGTTCAAGTCACCCCCAGACACGGGAAATAGAAAATGAGACAAAATTCTGGCAAGATAAACTTAATACAACAAAGCAAGGCAAGTCAGAGGGAAAAAAAAGAGACTCTGTGTTGCTAAAACCAGGAAAAATGACAAAGTGATGTGTTCATCAGGAGCAGGATGCATGTCAGAGCCACTGTGGGGATAATAAATGAGAGGGGAAGAGGGGAGCCTGCATAACAAAGAGATTAATTTCTCTTGACACCTGCACTCACTGCAGGAAGAGGATCAGAAAATTCCCACCTGCCAAGACCTTTCTTCTTGAGGAGTGATCTCAGCCTGCAGCTCCCCTGGGAGTTTGGGAAACACCCAACAAAGCCCTGGCAGAGCGGCCACTGCTCTCGAGTGCCCCCACCATCAGCACCACAGTAAGGCATCACCTGCAGCCTGTGCTCAGGCCCACCCAGGAGGCAGCAAAGGCCACTCTGGCTTTTATCTTGTGGAGCTCTGCAGGGATCTGGGTAGCTGCAGATAAGGGAATCAGACATGTGCAGCTGGCACTGCAGTGAGTGCCCACCTGCACAGCGGCAGTGACACACAGGAAAAGGCACAGCCTGCATCCCAGCTCCACACTGGTAACAACCCAGTCATGGCTTTCCACAAACTCCCCCCACCTAATGCTTTTGACAAAATCCTAATTCACCACAGCACAAGAGCAAGGTCCTTGAAATATTAATAAAGGGTTAAAAGAGAAGCAGCAATATTTGGCTTTCATAAGTGAGACTGCCAGCAGCATCCAAAGGGGATTTACCCAGGGGCTCTGTGCTCAGCACACAAAAAAAGGTTTCACAGCAAGGCAAACCTGAGATGACAAAGTGTACCTGGGAGATTTGGCTGCTCAGGATAGCAAAGGAAGAGTGGAGAATCCACAGGGACCTCCTGACACTAAGCAGCAAGGTAATAAAACAGCAGAGGAAACGGAGCAGTGCTAAATAATGAAGAGGGGAAAAAACAGCCCCAGCTTCAGCACTGGGATCTGAATTAACTGCTAACACACCTGTAAGGGACCTGGGCATTAAAAATCAGTCAATGAAAGAAAACATCACCTCAATACTCAGTACAGTTGTTGAGAAGACCTTAACAGCAGCCATCAAATGTTGGGAATTCAGAGGCAAAGAGGAGAGAACAAAAGGGACAGTAACAAATCTGCCATGCTATGGAATAATGCCCCAGAGCAGCTCTGCTGCTGAGAGCAGAGGCATCAAAGAGACAGTGGCTGTGCAGCAGAAAATACAGCAGGACAAACACCTGGCGTCCAGCACGGGACAACTGAAGGGTCAGGAGGAGCTGGGGAGGGCAGAGGAGGAGCTGGGAGAGGGCAGAGGAGGAGCTGGGAGAGGGCACAGGAGGAGCTGGGAGAGGGCACAGGAGGAGCTGGGAGAGGCAGAGGAGGAGCTGGGAGAGGGCACAGGAGGAGCTGGGGAGGGCAGAGGAGGAGCTGGGAGAGGCAGAGGAGGAGCTGGGAGAGGGCACAGGAGGAGCTGGGAGTGGCACAGGAGGAGCTGGGGAGGGCAGAGGAGGGCGGTCATGTCTGGCACTGCCCAGGGCAAGCCCCGAGGCAGCCCAGCAGTGCAGAGTCTCGGACACGGCGCTGGCACGCAGGACCCACCATTGGCGTCTTCGTAGCTGTGCTGCGCAGGGAGGGGGGCCCCGGGCTCCCCATCCGGGGGGCTCTCACTGCTGTCCAGCTGTCCCACCGGCGGGGGCCATGGCAGGTCTTTAATGACCTTGATTTCAACTGGATGGGGGGGTGGGGAGAGTGTGGGAAACAGAGAGAAACAGAGAGAAAGAAAGGGTTTAGAAAAAACCATCAGCAACACCAGAGACCCGCAGAGAAGGAGAGCAGTTGTGGGGGAAAAGAACTGAGGATTAAATTCCCAGGAGCCCTACATCAGCTTGGCCATCTCATCCTCTCCACAGCACCAAGCAGGGGCAGGCCTGAGGTGGGGCACATTCCCAACAGAGAGACCCTGCTCCTCCCATCAGTTTTTCCAGACAACCCTCTCTGGGGTTTGGGGGAGCCTGCAATCACCCCTTTCACATACTTGTTTGTCTGGGGGTCTTGGCCAAGCATCCCACTGCCATCTGTCCTGCCTGTGCATCTGTCCTGCCCTAGGTCCCTCCCAGTGACCCACAGGGTGCACATATCCCTGCCAGGCACCAGTGGGTTGCAGCCTTGTGCCAGTAGCAGCTGCCCATCAGCAGGGGTCTCATGGATCCCTTGGCATCACTGGAGAGAAAAAATACCCCACAAAACACAGCAGGATCTGCTCTGGCTTCACAAAAAAATGGGCGGCAGGTTCCAGCGTGGCCCAGGGAACAGCAACCTGACTCCCTTGGGACTCAGAGCAGGCCTGAAGCACCCTGGGCAGCAGCCACAGGTGAGGCAGACCTGTGAACACACCACCTTCACCCAGGGATATCAAGCAAGGCAGCTCATCCAGAGCACAGACACCTCAGCACAAACCCAGCCCAGCAGAGCACTGTTCCATGATGGAGCCTGACACACCAAATCCTTGCCACGGGGTGCTGTGGGACCTGGTAGCCCAAGCACAAGTGACACTGTGACACTGAGCCCAGCACACACATCTCCAGCTCAAACTGCCCAAACCCAAAGGGTGAACCTCTCCCAAACCCCAAATTTCCACATGTCTCTCTGCCATCATCTCCACACAGTGCCAGCAGCCTGAGCACCCTCAGCAGCAGCTGCAGCACAGCCACACAATGCTGCAATTAAAATGCATCCTAGATAAGAGCGCAGCAATTAGGCAGCAGCGGCAAGGAGCCAGTGCTAATGCACAGCATGGATTTCCTCATTACCAAACACAAACACAATCGATCCCACAGCATGGATAAATAGGTCAGGGGGCTGGATGAAGGCTCCTTGGCTATCCTCCTGCCCTGAGGAAGGAAGGAGCTGCTTGAGCCCGGGGTTGAACCCACCCCTGCAGTGCAAGGTGCTAATTTGCACCAGAGGCTCTGATCAGTCAGAGCATGGCAGAGGCAATGGGAGAGAGGTGTTGGACAGGTTACCAAGGCAGATCTGTCCATCACTCTGTCCAGCCTGGCTCCCTGCTCAGAGAAACAGCTTCTGCAAGAGCACAATACTCCCTGAGCTATGAAAATGCACAGACCAACATTACTGACCCCTAGAAGATGAAGCAACCCCAAAGATCCAGCTTCACAAAAAGTGTTGTTTGCTTTATGGCTGCTCCCATCGCTCACCTGCAAAGGCTTTGGAGATCCTCTCCTTCTTCCACTCCCAGGGCTGGTCATATTCCTCTGGTGGCCTCTCATCATCCTCGGGCAGCCGGGACTCCCTGGGCCTGGGGCAGGCCGAGCAGTCGCTGTCCATGTCCAGCACAGGCTCGTAGGGGGTGTCATAGAGGGGCAGCGGCCGTGCAGGAGCCTCCCGCAGGCCCTTCTGGCGGATCTCTGCCCGGACAGGAGGGAAAGGACAATGAGCCTTCTGCAAACACAGCCATGGTCCCCTCCAAAACGGTGCTAGGTGACAGGGATCAGTGTCACCCGTGGTGAAATGGGGCAGGGAGCATCAGCAGACGAGGAGACAGCGAGCAGCTGCCAGGAGCAGGAGCACCAAGATCCCCCAGTCCCACTCCTGGCAAAACGGGGACAGAGTACCCTGAGCCTGATTTCCTGCAAGCAGTGAGGCTGGGCTTCTCCCCTGGACACCCAGAGTGGTTGGTTTAATAAAATGCCCTTCCCTCAAGCAAAACAAAGTCTCTCCCACAGGCACAAGCAGTCTCTCCACTGCTTGCTGTTTTTTCCAAGAAATATAATGGACTACTTGAAAAAGCCACATCAGCTTTCCAGACGCCACTTACTCCAGGAAAACCACAGAGCTGCAAAGCAGAGGCAGAGCCAGCATGGTGACCCTGAGCACTGCCTTCAGGAGCACATGCTCCCAGCTCCCAGCTTTCCAGCCCCAGACAGGCCCACTGAGGGCCCTGATGCTGCAGCAGGCACTGCATGTTCTGGCCCAGTCAGTCCTAACTGAATTAAACAGCTCCCATATCCATCTTAGTTTTAAGCCAGATGCATGGAATGTCAGGTCTCTCCTGACTCCACCTGGCAACTGGGGTTCTGGGGGACAGCATCTCAGGGAGAGATGTGCCTGTAGTGCTCAGACAGTCTTTGCATGCTCCTGCAAACCCAGTGCACAAGGATAAAGCTGGGAAAATTCACCTGCAAAATGGCTGTCCCCAGCCAGAACCATCACCCAGGTTTGCCTCATGTGGGGGCTGCAAAGAACAGAGTACAGTGGCCACCAAACTCAGGGACCAGAGGTGTAAAGAGTGGCCTTTGTGTGACACCTTCCACCTTACCAGCCATCATCTTCTGGGCTTCATAGGGCTCCATGTATCCATCATTCTCCATCACCTTCTCCAGCCCTGCCTGGCTGCCTGCCACCTGTGCTGCATCAAAGGGATCTGCATAGTCCTCCAGAACAGCCAGCTGCAACAGGGCAAGAACAGGAAAAGGGTTAAGGCACTCTCTGCCTTTATTGGCAGGTGGAAGGCAGAGCCCACCATGAGCTCCTCCAGCAGCAAGAGAGCCCAAACCCACAGCGTGGCAGCCCTGCAGAGCCCTGCAGGCAGTGACAGCTTTCCAGGCACCAGCATTTGGCTGTGGAAATGCTCCAGCCTTTGTCCTGAAAGCTGAGATGGAGCCAAGCAGAGCAGAAGGCAGCTCTGCCCCTCCCGCCAGCACCCACATGCATGGCCTGGCTGGTCCCACTGCAGCACAGGGCTGCCAGCAGTGCTGTACCCCTCCATGGCACACACATGCTCTCCTGCACACCCACATTTCCCTTCCCAAGGTGGACAAGGGGCACAGATCCCAAAAATGGGGTGTCAGCTGGCACTGGCACAACTAGGAGCTCACTGCTGATTTTCCAGGGCTCCTGTGCACTCATTCGAGGAGCTTTTCTAACAAAAGGGCTAAGAATAGCCTATGGCTTCCTCTCCACAGCACCCCCAGACACATCCCAAGTTAAGTCAGACAAGATAGAACCTTCCTCCAGGAAGCCAAAGCAGGAGCTCCTCAAGTGCCAGGCCACAGGGTCAGCACTGAATTCCTGAGATTTGCACTTACTTGTGAAAAGGATCCTGCAGTAGGATATGGGGCATGTCCCAGAGCTCAATCCCCTCCAGCACTGCAGCCACATGCCTGCTCTAGCATCTCAGCAGCTTCCCATCAGAGCACCCCATCACATGGCCCTGCAGTCCCCAAGAAGCTGGAGCTGTACATCCACCTCCAGCCCCAAAGCCTGCTCCAAAGTGGGGCCAGGCAAATTTCCAGCAGCAATCAAATGTACCCAAGCACCCACCAGGACACAAACCCCCAGCTTGGGGGGATTTGCTGCCACAAAAAGGGCTGTGCAGATGTCCCACAGCAAGGACCAAATGTCCCAAGCATGGTGTGGCACCCACCTGGTGCCAGGCTCCATCCTCACCACGATGCTGCCCTGCTGCTGGCCAGCCACGGGGACCACGGCTGCTCACACATCCCTCTGCAGCTCCAATAATCAGCTCAAAACAAAAGATTTCTCCCTCCTTCCTGAGCAAAATGCCCAACAATAGCCTGGGACAGAAAGCCCAGCAGGAAAAGGGAACAGGAACTGGAACTGTAAACATCTCCATGCAGTCCCAAGACTTGGCATCCCTGTGAGCTACATGAGGCTCCGTGCCTGGCTCACCAGCTCCTCCCGAAATGTCCCAGCTCCATGGGGCATGGGGAACAGGGTCAGCTCTCCAAACCAAATGTCCCAGCTCCATGGGGCATGGGGAACAGGGTCAGCTCTCCAAACCTGGTCCCTCCATGCCAGGGCACGAGCATTGCTTGTGATCATCCCCAGACTGCCCCAGAGGAGCAGAACAGGGCTCACACATGGGCGCTGCAGATGCTCTCCCCTCAGCAAGGCAGCAGAGGACAGATGGTGTCAGAGCTCCACCCCAGGCAGGGGCAGCGAGCCAGGACAGGGCTCAGGAGCAGCCAGCCCCAGCTCTGCAGGGGGAGACAGGCAATCTGCTCTCACCTCCATCATCCCAGGGGTGACAGGCATCACTCAGGCCCCATCGAGCACTGGGGACACGAAGGAGCAGAGCTGAGCCCAGGGTCTGCAGCCCTTTGCAGGGCAAAATTCCCCAGGGGAAACACAAGTCCCTGGTGTCTCTGACAGCTGCTTGGCCAAGCAGGACCTGCTTCCCACTGCTGCCTGAGAGATCTCAGAGAAGCTGCTCCAAACAGGACACCCCATGGCCTCTCCCATGGAGGCTCTTGCTGCACCTCAACCCCTGCAGAGCACAGCCCTGTGACAGCAGCAGCAGCACCTTCACACATGTGCTCAAGACAATGGCATGGGCATGCCAGCAGAGTCCCTGCACACACAGATGCACCAGCCAAACAGGGCTGTGCCATGCTCAATGCTAACTTTAGCAGAGCTCTCCAAGCATGCTGGGGGGCTGTGAAATGCAGTTTGCTGACCCTCCTGGGGTTAGCTGTCTGTTCCTCAGGCCCCAAGCCCAACCTGACCACATTCAAACCTGCCATGAGCCCCCTTTCCTAGACGGGCACAGACCTATTGTGCTGCTGGTGCCAGTCCTGGACCCTCCCTCTGCACCACACACACAGCAGCTCCAGACAGGGCCAGGAGGCTTCCCTGCATGCAGTGGTCACTGTCAGAGAATCATTAAGGCTGGAAAAGACCTCCAAGACCATCAAACCCTTCCTTATTTCCATATTTCCAAATGTATTTCCTAGTGTTTAGGCCTGGCTTCCCAGGGAGGAATGCACAAGCTCCAGCAGGCTCACAGAGTGGCCCCACACAGATGCTTCCAGGTCTAGAAAGAAGAGGATGGTGGAGAATCTAACAGGTTTCTGTCAAGACCCCTAAAACTGGGTATTCTGCCTGCAGAAGTTTGCAGAGGCACTCAGCAGAGATCAGATGGACTTTGTTGGTAGAGGATGTGATTTGTTGGGTTCAGTTCGGACCCAGAGCAAAAGGCTCTGGTTAGAGGTAAGATCCTTGGATCTGGGGGAATTTGCCACACTGGTTTGCTTCTCCACTGCCTCAAGGATGCCACTTGATAGGAGCGAGGTCTTCCAACTGCAGGGTGATGAGAACATAAATCCATTTGTTTTTCACATGGTTGGATACTACAGCAGAGAGCCACAGAAAAGGTGGGAAGGGAATTTCTGCCTCCAGGAGCATCACAACCTCGGGATGGACAAGAAAGCCCACGAGAATGGTGCCTCAAGCCCCAGGACTGGGGGGCTGGAGGCTCCAGCCAGTGCCAGGAGTGGGGCAAACAGCAGGGATCCTGCAAGCGCTGGGCACATCCTAATGCCCTTGCACAAGGGGCCGTACCACGGTTGCCCAGGAAACTGAATCTCTGACATTTCCTAATCTGAGTTCTGGACGTTATGAGCCATGCAGGGCTCTCAGCAGCAGCCACAGTGCAAACTGCTGCTGCCAAGAGAGGGAGGGGGCACAGCCCTGGCAGGGCAGCTCGCAGGGGTGCCCCGAGACCCCCCACTTTGCTCCAAGGCCAGGCATTTCCATGCTGTGCTCATGTTCCATGTTGCTGCTCACTGCCTGCTGATCCCAGCACACGGCTGTGGAGGCATTGCCTGCTCATACAGAGCACAAGCTTTGCTAGATTTGAAATAATTTGGGTGCAAAGCAAAAGCTTGACATGCAAACCCACCATCCCAGGGCAGCTCTTGGTGCAGACCAGTCCTTCAGGGAGCAGCCAAGCACCACTGGCACCTGGACACACATCCTGCTTGAGCACGAGTGTTTTTCACATGTTTATCTGCCACAGCAATGCACAGCCAGACCCCTGCTGCAGCACTGAGGCTGGTCTCACTCTATTGTACATGCCAACAATAAGGGGGAAAAACATCAAAACAAAATTAATGCAAAGAACCAAATCATCACTGGGTTCTCACAGTCAAACAGCTTTTATGCTGCCCACCAGTGAAGGTGACAGATCACAGCTCTTCAAGAGCATTCACAGCTCAGACACGAAAATCCCAGGGCAGAGCTGGGGTTCTTTGTCCCAGAAACATTCTACCTGCCACCACCTTCTGCCACAACAAGATGTTCCACTCTACACAGAGGTTTGCAGAGGATTCCTGGGGTGATCCTCCACCTTAAAAACGAGTTTCCTGCCCTAGAGGTAAAGCACATTTGGGGTCTCCTCAGAAGACTGGGTAAATAAATTGCACAAACTCCGTCAGGTGCAAAATTCCTCCAGTTTTCCACATCTGGCAGCTCGGCTTTTGGCAGACACGGGAGCCAAACCCAAAAGCAAACACAGAGCTGACCTTCCAAGAAGGGTCTGGTGCAGGGCCCCCAGGGACAGGTGGGCTGGGCAGGGAGCCGGGGCTGCAGCCGTGGCACAGGAGGAGGGCACACACACAGCACAGCATCGGCAGCGTGTAAGATGACTCAGATGGAGGAGCTCTGGCAGGAAGGACACACACCCAGGAGCTTCCTGAGCGGCTGTTCCCACACCCTGCAGCACTGAGCCTGCACTCCCAGCAAGCACAGCACACTGCTCCTGGTGGGCACGGGACAGAGGTGTCCTCAGGCAGATCCCCAGCCCAGCAGTGGCAGGTCCCTCAGTGCATCTCTCCCCACTGGTGCTGCCTCTCGTGGCTAATCCAAACCCAGCAGGGACAGCACCTCCAGAGTGTCCACCTGGCTCAGGTGAATGGCACAGGGCCAGTCCATTGCCCACTGCTGTGGGGAAAGGCCTGGCACACCCAGCAGACCCAGGAGGACGTGTGCTGTCCACACCATTTCCAGCAGAGTTTGGAAAGCAGCACAAGCCACGGCAGAGCTCCCTCCAATGCATCCCCACAGGATGCTGCAGATCCCACAGAAGGGGCAAAGATGTGACAGATGAGCTACAGCAGCAAAGCATCGTGCAGCCCAGGCAGCAAGGATTCCTGTACCAAGATGTTCCTGCCCTTTCCATTTCCAGAAGCTACAGCAGGCACAGGGTGCCCAGGGAGCACAGTCAGCCCCCAGCCACAACAAACCACACAGTCTCAGCCAAACCACACAATCAGGAACCAGTGACTGCTCTTCCCACTTGTCTCCATCCTAATCATCCCCACTTGGAAGGGCTGCATATTTTATTAGAGTGATTTTCCCCATCTATCATTAACAAAAACCCTCTCTGCTCCAGCAGCTCTGTCTGTACACAGAATTGTGCTTCTCCTTCAATCTCCAGCATCCCCACAGCCCCAGGGGTCTGCAGTGTCAGTCCCTGCAGCAGGCAGGGAACAGTGCCCACAGCCTCCTGCTAAGCCTGTGAGCACTGAGCCCTGGGCACAGCCATCACCTCAGCAGAGGCTCCAGCCACTCCAGCATCCCTCCCCTGCTCCAGGACAGCTAGACACCACCAAGAGCAAGGGTCACAAACATAAGTAACCCCCAGCAGGCACTTCCATCCTCCCGTACCACCTTCAGGAAGAGCCTCCATGATGCTGGAGCAGTTGGGAAACCTTCCAACTGCTCAGCCCAGTAGATGAGAGCTGCAAAGGGCTTTTCAGCCCAACACAGCTGCTCTACATGGTGGATGCTCCCTGGTTCCTCCAGGAAAACTGTATTAATGGACAGCTGCAAGCACTATCAAATATTTCCACTTTTAGTCCGGTTTTGCCCAGGCTCTGGAGCTCTGTGTCCATCACGTATCAGAGCCCTAAAGAATTAGAAGTCTCCTCCCTACAGCGGCATGCAGGAGGACCATCAGTAATCTAATCACTGCCTATCTTGGAAAAATGAAGGGTCTTCAGCCTAGAGCTGTTTGAGCACAGCTTCCCCGAATGCATCCCAGCTTCAAACTCCTCAGATTCTCCCCAGCCTTTGGGTCCCCAAACAGCCTGGCTGTACCTGCCAGCAGCCCCTGCTTCCCTCAGCCCTGGCTCAGCCCTTTGCACATCACAGCCTGAGTCCACACGCCCCTGCTCTGATCCTGCAACACACGTTCCAGACAAAAAACCATCCAGACTGCCTCAGCAAACCACAGCACCACGGTGGCACCTCTGCTCCCTACTCCCCCTGCCACCCTCCTCATCCGCCTCTGCTGCCTGCAGCAGCCAGTTCACCCAGCTCACAAGGGGAGCTCTGCTGGGCCACTCGAGAAATCTCCCAAAAGCAATTACTCAGTACAGGCAACTTCCCAAGATCCACCAGCAACAAGTTTTTCTATCTGCTTAAAACATTCCCTAGCAGATTTTTCCCGGTGCTCATTTCATTGTGCCGCCCGGCAGTGCCAGGACCACGGATGGCATCACTGACTGTATCCGCGATTCCCTCCGCCAGCCAGATCTGCAATCCCGTCGAGTTCGCCTGACAAGCCCCGTCTTGCAGGCGGCAGCGCTAGCGGGCACTAATTACCCCCTCCTGCCTTTATTTGCGCAGTCCCCGCATCAGCCTCTCCTCCGAGAGCGAGGCCCGGCACCGAGGGCCGCAGCCCCGCTCGGGCTTATCCTCCACCAGGTCCGGTGCCACTCAGAGCCCGTGTGCCATGGGGAGCTCCTGTCCAGCTCCTGCCGCTCACCGGGGATGTTTCTCGCCTGCCTGGCAGCTCCAGGCTCTGCTCTCAAGCCTGGAGAAGCCGGCGGGGGGGCGGCAGACAAAGAGGCGCTGAGGCTCCTGACAAAGCAACACGGCATCTCTGGGGGTCCGGCCGCCGCCGCTGGCACGGGCAGCCCGGGCAGGCGGGCAGGGGAGATCCGGCCGGCACGGAGCGCTGCGAGGCCCAGGGTCAGCGGCCCCAGCCTCGGAGGGCACCGCAGACAGTGCTGCGCTCCTCAGCCTCCCGCTGGGGATCGGACCTGCCGCCCGCGGGAGCCGCAGGAGAAGCCGGGGCTGCCCCCGGTTCCGCTGACGTGTGCCCGGCATGTCGGGGCTGCCGGGGCACAGGGGAACGCCACACGGGAGCCCCGTGGAGCCCGGCCGGGCCCCCCCGGGTGCTCGAGGATCCCAACCCTGCTCCTTACTGCGGTGCCAACAGTCTGGCGGGACCACCGGGGCCATCTCCGTGACCGAGAGGCTCAGGCTCACCTGCGCCGAGGGTCCCGATCCTGCCCCTCACGGCAGGGGCCGAGGCTGCGGGCGGTCACTCGGGACCCCGCAAGTGGCGGGATACCGCGGGGAGAGGACCGGGGCCCCGTGTCCGGGCACTCACCTCCTGCGGCGGCTCGTCGGGCGCATCGGGACCAGCCGGGGGCGAGCTGGGGGCAGCCGGCACCGGCGGCGGCGGCGAGGGGCTGGCGGGCACCTTTTCCACCGCCTCCACCTTGATGAGCCGGTGCTTGGGCGAGACGTAGCGGGGCCCGTCGGGGGCGGCGGCGGGCGGCGGGCCGCTGTAGGGGTCCTCGAAGTCGCGCTCCTTCTGCAGCCGGTAGGCCGCCACGATGTCGGGCTGGGCGGCGGCCAGCGGCTCGGCCGCGCCCCCGGGCGGCAGGGGCGGCTGAGGCGGCGGCCCGGCGCGGTAGTCGGGCTTGGGCGGCGCGGGCGGCGCGGGCCGGGCGCTGCGGAAGCCCAGGTGCTCGCGGAGCCAGCGGGCCATGGTGCCCACGCACTGCGGGGCCCCGCCGGCCCCCGCCCCGCCGCTGCAGCCGCCGCGCTCCGAGCCGGCCGCTCCGCTCAGCAGCATCGGCGCCGGCGGACTGAGCGCGGCGGCGGAGCTCGGGGGGGGGCGCGGGGGAGGCGGCCAGTGCCACCTGCCGGAGCGCCGGCTGCGGGGCCTCCCCCGCCCCGCCCGCCGCACCGCGGCCCCGCGCCCGCTCCCCCCGGCGCGGCCCTCAGCGCGGCCCGGCCTCCCCGGCCCGCCTCCCCCGGGGCCCGCCCCGCTCCCGCCGCCTTCCGCCGCGCCCGGCCCTCCTCGCCGCTCCGGGCCGCCCCCCCGCGCTCCGGCGGCTGAGGGCTGGCGGCTCGCTCCCGGCCGCCCCGGGCCCGATCCGGCACCCGGGGAAAGGCCCCCGGGGAGCAGGGCGGTAAGGGGTCCCTCATGGGATCACAGGACGTGCTGAGCTGGAAGGAGCCCGCGAGGGTCGTGCAGTCCCGCTGCCCGGGAGGTGTGTGGTGGGAGCAGCCCCGGGCGGGACCCCCGGAGCAGCTCGGTCCAGGGAGACACTGAAACACGAGGCTGACCTGGGGACCGCCACAAGAAACACTGCGGGAAGGGGAGAGCAGGGACAAGGCAGGGAAGTGCTGGGGAGGAACGCTGAGTTCAGGCTGGATGCGCAGAGACATTGGAGTGAGCGTGCAGGGCCGATCCCCAGCACGGGGGCTGGGGGACATCCCCTGGGATGCAGCGGGAATGGGGCACTGGGAGCAGTCTGTTGGGGCATGGCAGCCGAGCCACAAAAAACATGCTAGCACACATTCTGAGTGCTCCCCCTGGACACAGCCATCACCAGCCGGCAGCTCACCCACCACTGAGACCATCTCCCCATGCTCTCCAATGCCCCAGCAACCATGTCTCCAGACCTGTGCCCCTAAATCCTTCCCATCCCTTCCTAAATACACACCATCACCCAAACCTGCTTCCAGACTCACAGGCTGAATCTCCTGAAGGCCATGAAGAAAGAAAAGGAGCAGGGACAGGTGCCACAGTGTGTGTCTGTGCGTCCTCACACCATGAGCCATGGCCCTGCACAGTGTGGGGACAGATGCTGGCATCTTGCTCTCAGCTGGGCAGAGAAGTTTCTCATGGTGACCTCCTTCCTACCTGCCCTGTGCAGGAGGGACAGTGAGGATGGGGCTGCAAGGAACTGAGCTTCCTGTGCCAGCCTGGCACAATACATGCCCAACATATGCCCAACATGTGCCCAGGGAGCCCACTGAGTCCCACATTTCCTGGTTCCTTGAGCACACTCCTGCTTGAGAAACACATCCGAATTTTCCAAATTTGCCAGGTCCATGTGGACACCATGGGAGCTTACTCCAAAGGGAGAAGACAGCCATGAAACCCAGAAAACAGCGCTGGAAATTTCAAAGCATGGGGATTGCAAGATGCAAAAGGCAGCAGGAGAAAAAGCATCTGTGAGGAACAAAGTGATCACCAGGCAGTGTTTGCAGCAGTCTAGCAGCAGATCTCGTTCCCAGGCTCTCAGATGGAGATGAAGAGACTTATTAAAATGCAGAAAAGACAGAGATTCTCAATAAATTTGCCTGTCCAGCATTTGGAAGGAAGCAGGGCTAATGGCACTTGAGATTGAAAGCACTTCCACTCTCTATTAGTAACCAAGGGGGATGTTCAGAGGCAGCTGTTGGAGATGGCTCTTGTTAAATCCTCAGGCCTGGCAAACACACGCTCAGTGTCTCCAGAGAGGGGACTGAGCAGGGATCTAGCTTGTGGTGGTGTTTGTTTTTTTAAATACTACCATATTAGAGGAATTGCAAAGGTTCTTCCTTCTCATCCAGTCCTGGCACGTGCCCCACATCGCTCCCTCCTTGGAGAGGCAGCTGTGCTGGGCTGTGCTGGGGTTTGACAAAGGTCTGTGATCCCTGCCCATGCAGGACCCCAGCACCTCCTCACCATTTGCTGGGCCTGTTTCTCTTCCAGGCTGGCCCAATGTAGCCCTGATCTCTGGTCTGTGCCTCTGAGGGATCTCCTTCTCACCTCAGGCTTCAGCAGAGCTTGGAGGGGCACCAAAGTCCCTGGACTCACCTGAGCCCTCAGATTTGGGCTTCCCCTTGGCCAAACCTCCCAGGCAGCAGGAAGAGAGAGCACAGCTGAGGTGAGAGCCCCCTGGGAGACCCCTTTGTGCTTGGGGAGCTTTAAGGAGCTCCAGAAGGAGACCCAATGACCTTACCACCTGCAAGGCCTGGCACAGGCTGCTCATGTTCTTTTCTGCAGCCGCGACGAGAGGCTGGTGACATCGCTCTGTTCACAGTGCCTCACTTCAGGCTTGGAGGAGCAGTGGCAGATTTCTACATTCTCCTGCCAAAGCCAGAATCTGTCGGCAGCTCGTGTGCAGCTGGTGCTGCTCCAATCCCAAGTGTTTGCTCTCTCCCTACCTTACTCCTGTCGGGACCCAGGTTTGGTGGCTGCACTGCAGAGACTGCCCCCGACACCTCGGTGGTGGCTGTGATGCCACTCTGCCTGTGGGTCACTGTGACAGATGGCTGTCATGGGGTGCTGTAGGGACTGGCAGATGGGAGAGGATGGGGGAGCACAGGCTGCACTGCTTGCGTGCCAGACTCCACATTTCAGCTTCTCTGTCATTCGTCCCCAGGTAGGATGCACTGCCCCGGGGGCTGCCTGCTGCTGGCACTGCCCAGGAGGGAGGGAAGGATGGCTGTGAAGCTGCACACAGTCCTCAGACAGGAATATAACAACCCATGGCTGTGCAGAAGTGATTTGTGGTTCACTCTGAGGGAACAGCAGAGGAAGAAGGGCTTTCTGCAAGGATGCAGGGCTGGTCCTCTGCGCTGGAATCTGCTCCCACCCTGTTCTCCACCTCTGACGGCTCCAGGAGCTCTTTGCTGAGATCTCCAGGCTGGTGCTGACAGCGTTGCCCTTCCTCTTACCAAGGGAGCTGCTTGCCTGGGTAAATGCAGACATGTCAGAGCACGCACCAGGAAGAAGAATCCAGGTAATGTCTTCCGGGCTGCTGCCAGCCCAGCGGAGAGCTGTGTGCATCCTCATCCATCCTCCGGGGCCGAGGAGCCGCTTCAGCTGCCTGGAGTGTTCCTGGTGCCCGCCCCAGCTGGGGGCAGGGGCCCCGTGTGGCAGCTGGGCCAAGAGCTGCACACACCATTCCCTGGGCTGAGGAGGGATGGTGCCAGGTGTCATGGCAAGGCTTCCCCTCTGGTTTAACCTCGGGTGGTGCGGGCACAGCAGCGTCCCCCAGGCGGGCGGCAGCAGCTTCCTGTGACTCAGAGTCCCTGCCCCTGCACACTCCCGGCTGACTCAGCCCGGCTCATGCGGGGGCTGAGACTGGCACTGCCCTCGTGTCACCTGAGTCAGGTGCTGGGTCCACCCCATGGACCCTGGCCTGCAGGGAAGCCTGCAGCTCCTGGAATCTCCAGCTGCTTCTTCCACAGCTTCAAACAAAAGCCATTTGCAGGGGGTTTGGAGTGGATGTGTGCCTGCTCCTTTCCTCCCCGGCAGCAACCCACATGCACCGCACTGTGCAGCACAGCAGGGACCAAGGGGATGTCACCTCTGCTGGGTGACAGCCGAACCATCTCCGGGCTCTGGGTACAGCAGGGGACAGGAGGACTGGAAGGTGGCAACTGTGGCACCAGAATTGCTGCCTGGGAGGCAGCCAGGGAGTCCCAGGCTGATAAATGACACATCTGTTCTCTGCAAATGAACAAAAATTGGCATACGGAGGAGGAAACTGGCATCGTTAGGGAACAGATGGATAAATATGACATATTGGGGAAGAGTCGATACAGCTCTCTTGCAGTGAATTTCTCTTTTCCACAGCGAGTGCTTTCTTGGAAAAAGCCAGCAGGCCCCTGAGGTGATCCAGCAGAAGTCCCTGCGTTTCCACACGCGGATCTTTTGACAAGATGAGGTCAACGGCAAAATCTGCAATAATATTGAATTATTCTGGAAATTGTGGATGCATGCTAAGCATTGCAGGAGAACTTTGAGAGGCTTAGGAAGCTGACAATAGAATGAGACAAAAGCCAGTGTTAGGGAAGTGACACACATGGGGAAACCAAGCCCAGGCTCTTGTCCACAGTGATGGGTTCTGAGACTGGGAGCTCTGACAGTCTGTGAAACTGCCCCCTCAGCAAAAGTCAAAACCTCAAAGACTGTCTGACAAGCTGATAGGAAGGGTCAGCAAAAAGGAGAGATGAAATCAGAGATGTCACTATTCCCCAGCCAGTCCCAGTCTACATGAATTTCTGGTCCCCCTGTTCCAAGGATACAGCAGAGCTGGAAAATGTGCACACAAGGGCAGCAGGAGGATCCAAGGTCCCTGCACACAGGGTCCCTGAAGGACCAGGGCTCTTTGGCACAGGAAGGAGACAGCTGGGATCACAGAGCAGAGCTCTGCACAGAGGGGGAGGTGGGAGAGGCTGAAATAACAGTGATAACACTCAGCACACAGGGCCCTCCCTGCCAGGGGCTGCTGCAGATGCTGCGTGGTTTAGGAACAAAACCACACAAATCCACAGAAAAAAAATCCATAAATACATATTAAACACAAGGACTAGCACAAAGGAGACCTGTGAGATTTTAGAGGCAAGGATGGTGTCCAGGGAAAGTGTTGCTGCACATTTGCACCAGGACACCATCAAAGCCTGGGCAGGATATGCACAAAGCACGTGGAGCAAATTTCTGCAGGCACTTTTTGCAGCTTTTCAGCCTTTCTGTGGAAAAAAAAAAAAAATTTTTTTTTTGTATATTTTTTTTTAAAATTGCAGTTGATAGTGTAATTGAGGCAATGCTAATTGACCAAAAGAGGAGATGACAACTTGCTAAAAGACATCTGCCAGCTTGGAGCCAGATCATCACCTGGAGCCTGGTCCCTGCCTCTGCTCTCTGCCCTGACAGCCTCAGCACCCCGAGTGTCACAGCTGCTCTGAATGGGGTCCATCATCTCATTAACACTTTGACGAGGTGTGGAGAGCACTGGGCAACTTCATTTCCACAGGTTCAGGTGCAGCACGCCGGAGACAGGCCAGTGA